ATCTAATTGGCTATGCAATGGCTGCTTGGAAGAATATTATGAGAAAAAACTTATTTAAATACAATTTCTACTCTTTTAAATATTAAAATAGAAACTGAATATTGCCAAAAGGCTAAAAAAAATGAGACTGGTGACCATGTGAAATCAACAAAACAGTGAGTAAGTAGTACAGACAGGCAGATTAGAAAATAACAGCTAAAACATTTGTAACAAACTGATTGAAAGGCTGAGACCGAGAGGAACGGTGCGGTTCACGATTAGTTTGGATTCAGTGCAGTAAACACCATTTAAGAGGAGTTTATAACAGTTAGTCTGCCTATAGCAGCAGGGGCTGAAGCCTCTCAGGCTGAAGCCATAGAAACAAACTCTAAAACAACACCAACAGCAGTAGACAATTTCATATGCTGCCAACATTTGAGTTTTCCATTCACGTTCACAAATTTCTACAGAATCATGCCCGTGAAATCAAATCATAGCTGTGTCAAAGTATGAACACAGAAACAATACCCTGAGGTGATGTCATGCACATTACCATAACATTAGTGCGACTTGCGCAATTCTACTACACAACAAAACTTTAGTTTTAGATTAGCCTAACATTACACAACTATATTATTGCATAATACTTTTTTAAAAAGGTACCATGGTATTTTGATAATTTTTTTGGACATTTCCATAGTAATGTTTTTTGGCCAGGGATCATGTTAATTCCACAGCATTTTTAGGCATCTTGGATTAACATCGTTTAAAGGTTTGGAAGGTTTTGTTAATATTTTTCTCTTTTTTAACTTTAGTAAAAGTCTCTTATGGTCAGCAAGGCTGCATTTGTTTGATATGCAATATAGTTAAAACACAGATATTGTGAAATATTATTAGAATTTAAAAATATATCTTATCTGTTGTAATATATTTTAAAATCTAATTTATTCCTGTGATGTCAAAAATAAAATGTCATTATACCAGTCTTCAGTGTCACATGAACCTTCAGAAATCTAATATGCTGATTTGGTGCTCAAGAAATGTTGATAAATTATCATTGTTTATAAACAGTTGTGCTGCTTAATATTTTTGTGGAAATTGTGATACATTTTTTTCAGGATTCTTTGATGAATATAAAGTTCAAAATAATGGCATTTATTTGACACAAATGCTTTGTAACATCATTAATGCATTTGTCACGTTTGATCAATTTAATGCATACTTGCTAAATAAAAATTTATTTTTTCTTTGTAAAAAAAATAAAAAATCCTACTGACCCCAAACTTTTAAACAGTAGTGCAAATATTAAAAAAAAAAACTATTATAAATATTAATATATCACTCTACATTTTGTAAGGAAAAGTATTTACTGTTTATTTAATGTAAATTTAATGTACACTGAGAATTTTTTACGCCAATACGAAACAGAACAAATAAAATAACCTGTGATAGGAAAAAGTATTTACATTTTTAACATTACTTTAAAAATTCTTCAGCTTGAGGTTGAATCTGGAGGTGTATTTAGATGTTGCATTGGTTACAATGTGCATTGGCAAATCTAAAATCACACTTTACAAGATGCACAAAAAGCAAAAACATTCATTAACGCGGATTTAAGAAATATGCAGAGCTGAATCTAATGTTCTTTTTTATTGTCTGTTTGAGACTCTGAAATGGAAGGTCACAGACAAAGCTTATCTCGACTGGGACGGTCTGTTTGTATTACGCTCTTTAGGTGTTCCTCCCTCCTGTTTCAGTCTCTCTAAAGCAAACCTGCACTCCTCCATCAGATAAGACTCAATCCAACCACCTGAAAGACTTCTGCTCTGTTTGAGGCAGTCAAACACCAGGTAAAAATAGAGTGAAGTGATGGAAGTCACCTCAGGTCACTGGCAGGTTTTCATAATGGACAAAAATGAAAACGACCATGGAAAAAAACACTCACAAGGAGGTAAAGAACTGCGGCCGAACTCACCTTTTAAAACTCTAGTAATAAATAAAGCAATTGCCTCGCAGGAAAAAACAAGCAAAGGAGTCGCGACTGCTCATTAAAGAGTGAATTTACACCTTTCTGCAGCCTGTACAGTTCAAGGATCCTTGCTTTGCATATGAAGGGTGTTTAAATATCCATTAGACGCCATAATTTGTCAGGCACAGCCCTACAGGCTAAAGAAAGGGAGAAAAACATGCCGTGATGGGAAGGGTGGGAGAGGTTCACCCAAACACACATTGTCATATGTACACTCCCTGTAGCAGAGGAGGAGAATAAATTAACCGTGAGGATACCACAGGCAGTGTCAGAGTCACTGAGTTAATATATACTTGGAGATGCGATGCACTACGCTTGAGGCTGAATGCTTCTCATTTAGAATTAGTACTAACTCAACTCTTCTTGATAAATGCATCGGAAGTCAAGTCATTACAGTCAGTCGTGGATTCAAGGGTGCTCATGTTAACAGACTCAAATATATATTTTTAAATTAAAAAAAAAATTTTTTTAAGAAACTCCTACACAGGAGTTACTGTTAGGGGTAGACAGTATGACCAAAATGGCATGAATAATTTTATCACAGTAAGAGTAAACAGTGTGTATCTTTTATTATATATATAAATAAATTACACACACACATATATTGTTCTTTCTATTATTTTTATCATTAATATTTATAATATTTTACATCATGAAGTACTGTATTTTTATTCTAGTGACTAAGTGAATAATTACATAGCAAGATGTTTTAATATTATTATGAATATTGTTATTAGTATAAAAAAAATCTGTAGTATTTTCTATAAATAATAAGTTTAATGTTACATATAGTGCATAGTCATGTAGTATGCATATTTTTATTCTAGTGACTAAAATACTTTAATATTTAATTTTAAACTTCATTGACGCACACCAAAAGGCAAGATTACCCAGATGACATAAATTATAAATGGCCACGGTTGTTGCTGTTTTTTTCCAGATTTTTTATATCATGCCATCTCACGGTATAAACAGTATAACAAAATATTTTCTATCATTGTGGTATATACGGTCATATCACCCCAGCCCTATTTTGGTGGCCCACAAAACAACACCCTACCCTAGTTAATTTTTGGTTCCTTTGCTGCCTCCATTTCTGAGCCTCTACAGCCCATTACACTTTTAATAATGCAACCCTGCCTCAGTCTCCCTCCCTTGATGCACAGCCATCTCACCAGCTACACCTGTGATCTCACAAGCTGTAAAAGCAAATAAACAACTCACAGTCCTTCGCTCTGCACTGAAAGCAGCCCATTCTCACTTCTCTCCAGACCGAGCTTGATGAGGCATTCTGGCTAGCGCTCTCTGGAGAAGCCCTATAAAAGCTGAGCTGCAAACCTTTGCTCCGATACAGGTTTCTGTTGAATTACACCGCAATTTACTTCACTGTTTACTAGCTCGACTATCGACGATGACGTTTCTCTGCCTTAGTGATCACTGACGAGCTGGCAGGTAGTAAACGGAGGCTGGCAGGCCAGACACAGCGCTGTGATAAAATAGAAAAGTTTACACTTCTAGAGGAGTTTAATGTGATGTAATGCAAGGACGAGCAATAAAAGTGCACATTTCCTGGTTTAATTGACATAAATGTTGCTTAATTTAGATTTGCTGTGCATAACTGCATAAAACAACAGTAAATAAAACAATATATCAGAATTTTATAGTTGGTTAAACACCAATTTGAATAAAAGCATCATCTTATAACTTGAATAATATTTTAATTTGAATAATAGCATCAACATTTGTAAATTACCGTATATGAGAGACCCTTAAAGGGAAAGTTCACTCAAAAATGAAAATAGTCCATGTGACATCAGTGGTTCAACCTTAACTTTATGAAGCTACGAGAATACTTTTTGTGTGCTAAGAAAACAAAAACAATGACTTTATTCAACAATTTCTTCTCTGTTTAATAAAGTCGTAATTTTTGTTTGTTTGTTTGTTTGCACACAAAAAGTATTCTCGTAGCTTCATAAAATTACGGTTGAACCACTGATGTCACATGGACTATTTTAACGATGTCCTTACTACCTTTCTGGGCCTTGAACATGTCAGTTGCGTTGCTGTCTATGCAGGGTCAGAAAGCTCTCAGATTTCATCAATAATACCTTAATTTGTGTTCCGAAGATGAACAAAGGTCTTACGGGTTTGAAACGACATGAGGATGAGTAATTAATGACAGAATTTTCATTTTTGGGAGAACTATCCCTTTAAGCAATAATCGAAAATCTGCAGTCAGACACAAACGAGCCACATTCAAACCACTTTGGCTAACTGGTGAGTAGGGCAATGGCAGATCTGCAGTTAAAAATACAGGCTACAAGCACCAGGTTTGGTGGTTCAAATCTTTTCATGATGGGTAATACATCTACTTATTCACCTCCCTATTTTCTGTGTGTTTGCGCATACTGAAAAAGCTGAGAAAGACAAAGAAAAAAAGAATGAGAGAAAGAGCCCTGCATAATAACGGTGTGCTTCTAATCAAATGCCTGCTTATAAAATCAGAAATTTGTATCAGGCACAATTTAAGGCAGACCGATCTAAACTGCATTTGGAATAGCAGGATCACTATCTAGCAGTGAACACATTTATGTTGTGTGTATTCTCTATCTGCACTCCATCAGTGCTTAATGTAGCACATCTCAACATCCATGTCACTAAATCATTCGCTTTCTCCGCAAAGCAGCTTAAAATGATTATTTCAATACTTCTTCAGGGAGCGCAAAATATATTCAGTAAAGATTCCATTTCTGAGGAAGTCAACTGGGTGGCATCAGTGATGGGTATTACTTAGCGCACTGATACAATGAGAAGCAAAATGAAGCTAAATTTGATCTGTGGGTAAAATTCAAATAATCGAAACAGTTGCAACTATAATGATGGCAGATGGCCTACTTTACAAACTCTAACGCAAATGCCATTTAGAAAATGAATCCTGTCTGAATAGTACTAACAAATGATTAAGGCAATGAGCACAACTTTATTCCCTTACCTTCATCAAAGTCAGCATCGTCCTCTGTGTGTTGAGGGAAAGGGAAGCAGTTGGTGATCTCCAGCCTGTCCTCCACCACCAGCCCCAGCAGCACCCCCTGCACCAGCTCACTGCCTTGACCTTCCTCCTGGTAATGCTTGATGATCTTCATCACCACCTGAAACACAGAAACACAAACATGAACACTCACACTCGACTGAATTTCTGTTTTTCCATGATCTTCAAAACCTTTTTTGAGTGCTTAAAATATGCACATACACAAATTTCTTTAAGTAACTAATAAGTGAATTTATTTATTATTATTTATTGATACAAAAGTTTGAAATAATTAAGATGCTTTTATTGTTTTTGAAAGAGGCCTCTTACGTTCACCAAGGCCACATCTATTTGATCAAAAATACAGTAAAACGGCAATAATTGTCAAATATTGTTACAAATAAAAATGTATACACTGTTTTCAATTGTACTACATTTTTAAAATGTTAATTTGTTCCTGTAATGAATTTTCAGCAGCCATTTTTAGAAAGTGTTTTTTAAAGTCCCCATGAAATCAAAATTAAAGTTTTTTGGGTGTTAGTATCAATATGTTAGTCTTAAGGTTATCTATAAGGCAGTGTGCTCCAAAACAGTGACAAAATTCGCATTTAGAAGATATAAGCATTCAAAGCTTGCTGTTCGTCACTTCCGCCAAAACAGCTCAACGATTTTTTATTTTTTGACGTCACATCGTACTTCAGCTTCTCATCAAACTTTCTGTCCAATCAAATGTTCTCTAGAATCCGAAGCGCCCACCCCCTACACTATGAAATAGACGCTGAAGCCGCGGCTGAAATCGGTCACTTGTCCACAGAATTAGTATTTTCTGTACAGTGAATGGCACGTAGTGCACTATATAGGGGACAGGGAACGATTCAAACAGTGTAAATATGCTTTCCATTGAGGAAAAAAAGAAGTCTGGATTCGCGCTGTCACGCTAACCACCGCACCGCACACACACTCTGCTCCGGGCCAGAGACACGATAGCACGGAGCAGATCACATGCGCGAGTCGGCGCAACGCTGCATGTTTCTAAGCATTTCAGGGGACCTTTAAAGAATTTTGTTGTTTGTTTAGAATTTATTAATTTGGGGTCAGAAAGATTTTTTTTTTTAAGAAAATTAATACTTTTATTCAGCAAAGAGGCATTAAATTGATAAAGTGGCAGTAAAGCCATTTGTAATATTACAAAATGTTTCTATGTCCAATAAATGCTGTTTAACTTTATTTATCAAATAATCCTGGTATCATGGTTCACACAAAAACATTAAGCAGCAAAAATTGGTTTTTAAAATGAATAAGAACCATTATTAAAGATTGAGCACCAATAACAACTGATAACAACTGAGCACCAAACAGCATATTTTAATGATTTCTAAAGGATCATGTGATGCTGAAGACTGGGGTAATGGCTGCTAAAAATTCTTTTATATAAAGCTTTTTTATGAAATCAATTGAACCTTATGGAACATAAGAGACTTCTTTCAAAAAACAAAACAATAATATGACCAAACATTTGACTGGTGTTGTGTCTAACTATGTGTATAGTCTGAATAGGTTGAATAGTCCATCTGAAAGCATGTTCTGGAACTATAAATGATAAAGGGTGGACAGTGGAAGGGATTTATGGAAAGGTGCTGAGAGGAATTTGGTAGCAGGTGGATATGGAACAAAATAGAGCTTAATCTTTAATCCGTAAACTATAACCATTTGGAATTAGAAATGTCCCCTATAGATAACAGATGAGGACAGATAGAGAATGGGAAAATCCGAGAAGGCACAGGAGTTGGGCAGTGGTAATAACAGTGGATGAAATACCACAGGTGAAGAGTAAAGCATCCCATACGGCAGTGATAAGCTCAATGGCAGAGCGAAGCTCTGCGTTTTTTATATAAATATCTAATTCATCTTCAGCCGAGCAGAGCAGGGGCTTGAATCTGTTGACAAAGCAGTATTGATCCTTGGGTCCAGGTGGCCTGGCATCTAACACAATAACAGATTTTCAATTGTGACCAACAGCAGGCACAACCCTATTTAAATCCAAACAACAAAAAAATGTCCTATGTAAAAGCCTCAAAGGTTTCAAATAAAAATAGGTGAGGGATACACTGCTAAACTTGTGCACTGTATTCATTGAACCAGTACTGAAAGGTCATTGTGGCACAAAGAATAGACATGGTTAACAAGATCTTGGTTCAGAAACCTTTGACATAGGTTCATGCTTAAATCTCCCAATGCTTAACCAGGATTAAGGAACCAATGTGGGGGGAAAAAATCAATACAACACACCATCCATTCATCTTCAAAGCCTGATCCTCATTCAGAGCTTGTGCTTGGAAACAATTTCTATAAGAGCTAAAAAGACACTTATAACCAGAATCTAGAGTTCTCATAATGGAACATCCAAAACACCTTCCTGCCTTCCTTCACAAGGTAGATTCAAAATGCCTTAGACATTCACATTTCCAATACAACACAACAAAATACAGTTGGTCAGGTTATGGGGTGAGGACAAATACAAAATATGCAACAACAAAAAAAACAAGAAAAAAAAAACCAGCAGGAGCCAGAACTTTCTAAACTATAAGGAAACTTATAAAACCGAGGTTTACAGGGGGGAAAATATGAATTTTTTCCATTATTTGGTTACTTCAGCATTTAAATTACCCAATTCTACTCACTTTCTACTCCACAGGGTCCAAAAGAAAAGCTGATTTGTCCAAACAATTTTATTAGTGAAATTGATTATCTTCACAAGTCCAATTTCACTTAGAGAATGTACATAATTATTAGAACCTCAAAAATCTGACAGCACATATTCATGCCCATAATGTCCTAACCGAGAGGCAGAGGTATGAATGATTGTAAGCTGGCAGGGGTCTAGAAGTGCTGGTTGTCAGTTGATGGCTGTACTGGTGGCTTGCCATCTCATTATCAATAAAACTGACAGTTTTGAATAAGCGGGCACTTAGGCTATTAGCCAAGACTCCAGCAGGCCAAAGAGCCAGTAGTAGCTTTAGTCAAGTCAAGTCAAGTCACCTTTATTTATATAGCGCTTTTAACAATACTGACTTTAGTCACATTAAGCCAGGCCTCCTATGCCTTAAGTGCTAGTCAGGACCCATTTCTACTCTACAAGTGAGACACTACCCACAGCTTATCAACTAGTTGTGGATGTTATTATGTCAAAACAAAACAAATAATTAAAAAAAAAACTTTATTATTTGACATTTTCATCACTAATTTTTTTGACATCAAACTGGTACTGACTAGGGTTGTGACAGTGAGGAAATTTTCCCACCAGTTAATCGACGTGTGACAACACCGGTAATAGTCACTAGATGTCATGTGACCTACTCAGTGACTTAAGGAATGCACGTGTTTTTTCTGTTTTAATAAAACTGCGCCAGTCAGAGCGACTGTGTGGTTGGTAAAGCCGTATCTTCTCGTCTGTTATTTAGCGTACTCTGTTAACACTCAGTTAGCTGGATTTGATTGTTGATGATTTGGCTTGATCTTGGATTGGTTGGTTCTTCGAAGCTCATCCCGGAGTTGCTGTCATAGCAACAGGTCCGTAAGCTTAAACCTGCTCGGGAGCAGGC